CCTATTGGGGGGTGGGGCTTACAAAATGTCCAGTAGTTAAAAAAAGTGATTTTTTTTTCTATAGTTACTGGTTATTTTGTAAATTGCCCCCACGGGCCGGTGGATGCTTTTTGTTCTGAACCCTAGATCAGGAGCTGTGTCCATACCACAGTGGTGGAAAATTTGGGGGATGTTTTGTACCATTTTTTCCCCCTTCCACCATTTTTTTCCTGCTGCTATGGACAGGATATACAATATAATGCATACTGTGAAATTGTGTATTTTGGATTATGATTTTTCTACTGTTGATATTGTAAATTTCTACTGTTTTTTCAGTACAAGTTTATTACCAACAATCACTGAATATCTTTAAAAGTGTAGATGGTCCTGGGGGTTCTTTCCTAAGTTGCCTTAGCCAGGGAGACACCTGCTGCAGGGGTGGTGTTCAATGCCAGTTTACATTCATATTGATGAGATTTTCTTTGGGTCAACCATTATTGAAGAATGTGCATATCTATGACAAGCCCAACCATGTATACTGTAGGTCTGGGGGTTCATTTTTATATATGTTGTTAGAAAAATGCAAATGCACATTATACTTTCACTGGCTGAACTGATATGCTCTTGGCTGTCTCTAATCACCACTGGCATCCATCTGGGTGAGTTTCAAAGTATCCAGAGGTCTCCCTCCCACTGCTTGCTATGACACTACATTGTCATGTCAAGCTTTTCATCATCCCCAGTGCACAGTAGCCAGATTTTTCCTAGTGAACTTGTGAAATGGTCCTTCACACTACTCATCCATAAACCAGTGCTTAGAAACCTGTAAAAAGTAACTGAAAAAAAAAATGAGCCACCTTCTTTCTCCTGTCTAAAGAAAGGGGTTCCTGGTGACATCACTGACTGTAACAGCATATTAGATATGAAACCTAATAGACATTATCTTTATAAATAGGCCCCACAAAGTTCAAAATATGTTGATAAACATCATATTGTCACAAAATGCTAAATATAGTAAAGAACATAAATACTTTTTAAATACTTAGAAATATCTACTGCCAGAACAACAAAAAATAGCACTAACATTATTGCAACTTAAAGAAAAAAAAACCATTAGAAATAGGACTTTATTGATGCCTAGCAATATACATACAGCACTGTGCAAAAGCGTTAGGCAGGTGTGAAGAAATACGGTAAAGGAAGAATGCTTTCAAAAATATAGATTTGAATTGCTTATGTTTAACAATTTGCACAATGCATAGTGAGCGAACAGAAGAAAAATCTTAATCAAATCAATATTTGGTGTGACTACCCTTTGGTTTCAAATTAGTATCAATTCGTACACTTGCACAAAGTAAGGGATTTTGTAGGATTAGAGTCAGGAGTATGATTAATCAATTATGCCAAGCATGTGCTAATGATTATATGTAGGCAGAAACACAGTCATTAACTGAAACATTGTAGATAGAATAAGGCCCCAAAATGGAACCAGTGTTTGGTCAGCAGAGGCGTCCATTCAATAAAAAAAGGTGCTTCCAAGTGGATTCTTCAGGAAGGTTGATATTTATTCATGGTGTTAAAACACCATCAATCCATTTCATTGCTCTTTTGTGGCCACTTCATCAGGAAAAGGTGTACAGTACATGTTAATGCGTGGGATCTGTGTACACTCCTTCAGCCCAGAGTATACTGTTTTCAAAACAGATAGTGAATGATCCATAGGGAGGATACAGGCTATATAGCTGCATATCACAACCTTTCACCATACAATATAACAACTTGTAATATATGTGTTTCCTCTGGTAAGGTAGGGGTACAAAATGACCATAGTTTTACCTATATTCAATTTAAACAGTATTTTAAAATGACATTTGTATTATCCATTTTTCTAAGACATGATAAAGAAAATGATGATGTGTGCAAACAGGAAAATGTGCTAAATTGATTGTTGTATAGTTGAGTAATTAACATAATTATGTATTTCTTTAAACTATGGGGCACAAGCAAAACATTAAAACATTTTTTGCCATGCAATTTTATTTCATTGCATTGCTTAATAGATCTCAAATGCTGTCATTTTGATTACAGCTTCAGTGATCATTAGTTAACAGAGTCGAAGCAAAATTTTAAGTACTCATCTACTGGAAGTTTGTCAAATCCACTATCAGCTTCTTGTTTCAGAAATCAATTCATTAAAATTAATTGGGGTGGCTGGCATGAAATGAAGTGGTGAAATAGGAACGCTCATGGTTACTGATGAAATGGAGCCAGTTAATATAGAAGAACAATATATTCCTATCATTTGAAAAATATAATATCTCAGAGGCCTAAAAATGATAAAGTTCAAATACTGAAGGACAACGTATTAATTCATATTTTTTTTTTAAACTAAGCAAACAACAGGATATATGATTCAATAGATAACTCAATGTTTTATACTCCTTCAATTCCCAATGTTTCTCTATTAACTCCTTGATAAATAAAACTAGTTTATGAAAACTAGCATAAGGCAAAAATGACAGTTGTCTATTGGAAACTAGGGCTGAGATGAATGTACTTTTTCAGTTCAGTTCAAGGCAGGTTTGTAGAACATTAGTGAAATGTGGGTGCTGAATCCAAACCCCAATAAAGTCCATAAGAACTGAATGTTTGAAAACAAGGGATTGTAAAACAGATGGCATGGGGGTTGTCACTGCTAGGAAAGCTAAAAAATATATATATTAAAGGATTAGCTCACCTTTGGAACATGTTACATGTCCCCCCCCCCCCGACAAATAGTACGGAGAGAAGTCTCCCCATACTATCTGTCAGATTTGAAAACAGTGTGGCTGTGCGGGGCTCCACCCACATGGCCACATCACTCATTCTGTGAATGAGTGCCTACAAGTCCCGCCAGCCTTAGCACCCGTCAGCATGTAGTTTTCAATGAACTACCACGGTGCTCTGGAGCACCATGGTAGTTAATTCAAGCTTCCTGTCAGAATATCAGAATATCTGCTTGGCCGTACATCCCATACGGCTAGCAGATATTCTGACAGGTCTGCAGGAAACCTGCATGGCATCAGCGATCTACTGATTGCTGGTGCAATGCTTTACAGGTTCCTTTGGACTAAAATATTAAATGCGCATTTTTTTTACCTGCAAAAGGTGAACTTATCCTTTAACCACATCCCCACTGTCCTATATCAGATATGCTGCTACAGGGCAGCAGGGGTGTGCAAAATCACGTATATATATTCCGGGTAGGGGGCGCGCATGAGCCCTACCCGCACTGCCATTTGTGGCCACGGCTGTCAATCACCGGGTCCCAGCCGGTGATTACCCGCTGGCGCCCCAGAGATTACTGAGGATCTCCAATGGGGAGGATGGCTTCTTTGTTTACTAACAGTCCTCCTCCCTATTGGCTCAGTCAAACTGCTCTGCTCTGCACAGCACAACCATCCAGAGCAGTGTGCTTACAGTTAAGCACCAAAACAAATTTCATGTGGATGCAGCATTGCATGACCGTGCAATTATCAGTTAAAGTAATGCAACGCCTTAACACAAAAAATGGCCTGGTCAGGAAGGGGATAAATCCTCAGGAGGGTAAGTGGTTAAATTCAGTTTGGCAGGGAGCAGTGATTATAATAATGCTTAAAGTGAAACATTAAAAGTGCAAAATCGCTAGCTGATTTGTTCTGTTTGTAAACAAAGTGGCCAATGGTTCCCTTCAACTATACCAAGTCCTTTTTCTGGTTGTTAGGGGTTACTCAATGCAAAAAAAAGGCATGAGGTTCCCCCTACAAATACATACCATGTTTTATCCTTAATGAGTGTCAAATATGGATTTAAAAGGAAACCCCACAAAAGAAACAAAAAGCTTTGTGGGGGTCCTCCCAAATTCTGTACCGGACCTGTATCTAAGTATGCAGTCAGGCAAGTCAGGAAAAGGGGGGACAAGTGTATGGCTCCCTCCTAAACCATACCCCATGTCTTCAACAAGGGGAGGGTACCTTGCCAGGGAGAACACCCCTGGCAAAGCACCATGTCCCATGTTGATGAGTGGCCCAGTGGTTATGGGGGTCTGCAGGCACAGGGATAATAGGAATCTGGAATACCCTTTACAAATAAGGGGGACCCAAACACTGCTCCCTATGTAAATGAGTAAGGGGTTCAGGTGACATCACTGACCAAATATGGCCCACTCCTTTGTTTACATTTAGTGGTGGAGACTGTAACTGTCATGTGGTGAATGAGTAAATGGATCAGATGTGCCAGCATTTGTTTTTTTGCTTTTAGCTAGTGTGCATCGTTCATCATGGAGAGGATTTGCATCAATGGACAATGTGACTGATGATGCATTTATGTCATGGGGCATAGGTACCTCTTACTCATTACATAGGGGGCTGGCATCTGGGGCTCTCAAGGACAGCATCAGTGACACCATATTCTTGCACCTTATAAATTTAATGTCTATTCATTATGTATTATTATTATTCTTATTATTGTTATAATACAGGATTTACATAGCACCAACCGTGTATGCAGAACTTTACAACATAAGGACAGATAGCACGGTTATAATACAATTCAATACAAGAGGAATCAGAGGGTCCTTCTTGTTAGAGCTTACAATCTAAAAAGGAAGGTCAGGTAATACAAGGTAATAACTGTGGGGGATGAGCTAATGGAAAAATGAAAAGTACAGTTGTTAGCAGGGCTAGATTATTTTGCACCCTAGGCAAGACCAGCAACTTGTGCCCCACCCAAAAATAAATAAATAGATACAAAATTTAACTAGTTGCTGACCGCAGATAGCCGAATGACGGCTTCACTGCGGCCGGCCAGTTCTGGGTGGACGTCATATGACGTCCCCCCAGAACGCGCTCTCTCCTGCGCGCCCCAGGGGGCGCGCACCCGCCGATCTCCGTGATCGCTGTGTCCTACAGACACAGCTGATCACGTGATGTGGTAAAAGGCCGATCCCAGCGGCCTTTTACCACGTGATCAGCGGTGTCCAATGACACGCTGATCACAGGGAAATGCAAGTGCCGGTTCTCGGCTGCACTTTCCTCACGCTGTCAGATCATGAGGAAAGTACTGCCGAGGACCGGCAGTTGTCACAGCGGGGATCGGCACCGATCATCAGGACACTGATGATCAGTGCCCTGATGATCGTTGCCCAGCATTGCCACGCGCAAGTTCCGCCCACCTGTGCCCAGCAGTGCGCCCACTAGCTCCGCCCACCTGTGCCCAGCAGATCACCCACCTGTGCCCAGCAGTGCACCCACATGTGCCACTCTGCAGTATCACACACCTGTGCCCAGAAGTGCCACCTACCTGTGCCCAGAAGTGCCACCCACCTGTGCCCACCCACCTGTGCCCACCAGTGCCACCCACCTGTGCCCACCCACCTGTGCCCACCCACCAGTGCTGCCCACCAGTGCCACCCACCAGTGCAGCCCAGCAGTGCTGCCAGTCAGTGCCACCAGTCAGTGCCCAGGGGTTGTGCCAGTCAGTGCCGCCAGTCAGTGCCCAGCAGTGATGCCAGTCAGTGCCGTCTATCAGTACCCATCATCAGTGTCACCTATCAGTGCCGCCTATCCGTGACACCTCATTAGTGCTGTCTATCAGTGCCGCCTATCCGTGCCACCTCATTAGTACTGCCTATCAGTGCCCTTTAGTGCTGCCTATCAGTGCCCATCAGTGCCGCCTATCAGTGCCCATCAGTGCTGCCTCATCAACGCACATCAGTGAAGGAGAAAAAATACCTGTTTGAAAAATTTTATAATAGAAACAAAGAAATTTTTTTTTTTTTTTTCAAATTTTTTGCAATTTTTTTATTTATAGCGCAAAAAGTAAAGCGCCCAGTGGCAATTAAATACCACCAAAAGAAAGCTCTATTTGTGAGAAAAAAAATGATCAAAATTTCATATGGGTACAATGTTGCATGACCGCGCAATTGTCAATCAAAGTGCGGCAGCGCTGAAAGCTGAAAATTGGCCTGGTAAGGAAGGGGGTATAAGTGCCTGGTAGGCAAGTGGTTAAAAAACAGAAAATATTAAATCAACAAAACATGAAACTGCTAAATTTAATTTAATTTGCAAAAACAAGTGCCATAAGATGACACCAGCACCAATATTAAAAACAAAATCAGTTTCACAGACAGACTGTAGCTGTGCTGGCAGTGGCAGGGTGACAGTTGCAGTGAGTGGAGGATGATAGATCCACTCTCTGACAGAACACAGGCTGTAATTCCCCAGGAAATGGGGGGAGATAAAATACTGTGAGAGCAGGCAGCCCAACCCACACACACAGAGAACACCTGAACTGAGTGATCCCACACAGTGACAGATCCCACACAACACACCAATACTGACACAGATTATCAAGCCCAGTAGGCACTAGAAGAGCAGGCTTTGGAATCGTGATTATGTCATCACTCGCTGACACATTGCACATGTGATGGATGGCAGGCCAAGTCACACTCACACAGCCATGAGACATCAGAGTCAGACATTACCTTCCCCTGCAGGCGTGGATCTGCACCTCCGCTGATGAATGGGAAAAAGGGCTGGAACTCCACAGTGATCATCAGCCGCCAGCCGGCTTGCAATAAGGGCCTGCGTCTGAACACTAGAAGGAGCACCAACTCAGCAGGTACACTGACCACAGACACTGGGAATCATCCTCTGTCCTTTCTTCCTCCCCTCTGCAATCCCTCCCATCAGCTGGAGGATCATCCCACACAGAGAGAGTGCCATATTGTGTTGCACCCAGGCAACTCTAGGCGGCAGTGCACCCTAGGTGGACGCCTAGTTTGCCTAGTGGAAACACCAGCCCTGGTTATTAGGTGGAGGCTGGATAGGCATCTCTAAAGAAAAGGATTTTCAGGGATGCTTAAAAGTGGACAGCGTAGGAGATAATTGGACAGTTTTGGGTAGGGGGTTCAAGAGGATGGGAGTTGTTGTTAGTATTTTGAATTTTGTTCATTAGTTGAGCGGAAGTCAATGAAGGGATTGGCAGAGAGGGGTAGCAGACAATGAATGGTTGGTAAGATGGATGAGTCTGGCAGAAGTATTCATTATGGACTGAAGGGGGGATAGCCTATTTAAAGGTAATCCAGGAGGATTAGGTAATGGTAATGAGGAGGCAGTTGCAGAAGTCACAGTGAGAGATAACCAGGGTGGAAATTAAAAGCTTTGTGGTGTCATTGGTTAATTTAGGAAATGTTGTGGAGATTGAGATAGCAAAATTTGTACAGTGATTTGATGTGGCATTGAAATGAGAGTTTAAAGTCCAGGATTTTACATAGCTCCCTGGCATAATATGTTAATATACGTTCAGTTTTCGGTAGATTTAGTTTGAGGAAGTGATGTGACAACCAGACTGATATGTCTGTCAATAAATTACTGATGCATGAGGACGCTGATGGAGTAAGCTGAGATGTAGAAAGATAGATTTGGATGTCATCAACTATCATCAACTATCAGATGACCTGGGGGGATCTGTAGATTGAGAATAAGAGAGGTTCAAGAACAGAACCTTGGGGTACCCAGACAGGAGAATGAAGAGGAGAGGAGGAGGTAGAATTGTGACACTGGAGGTGCAGTGGGATAGGTAAGATGAGAGTACAGTCATGGAAGCCAAAATAATGGTGTTTTTTGAGGAGGAGGGAGTGGTTAAATTTGAAGACAGCAGAAAGGTCTAAGAGTAAGAGTACTGAATAGTGACCAATGGTTTTAGCCATTAGTAAATTATTTGTGAGTTTTAGGATAGCAGTTTCTATGGAGCGTTTACTTTACTTTTACATATTTGTTTGGCTTACATACAGTAGCAGCAAACCAATATGATTTATTTTCACCACAAGTAGCATAACAAAGCAAAATATGCTGTGCATTTTTAATGATGATGCGCTGCAATTGTATCCAAAAAACAATGGCCAAAGTAGTACTTACTCATGGCCCAAAAAAATTAACAATTTCTACCTCTCTAAATTAATCCTTTTAAAAATTAGGTTTTGTGTATTTCACCTTGAGACAAAGCACAAAAATCCAACACAAAAATCTTGCAGAGTAGAGGGTCAACCCTGTCCAAACATTGTATGTTTTGGACAGAAATATTAGGTGATAGATGTTGGGGATGCCCAAACAGCAAATACTCAACAGAAATATTCCTGCAGAAAACAGGATGGATTCTGTTTTTAAAAAATATTCATATATGTGTAACTGTGACATGGCTATCAAAAAATTCGGTTTTAGGTGTTGATGATGCCCAAACACCATAAGACCACAGAAAAGTTCCTGCAGAGCAGAAGATGATGCATGATCTAACAGACACTCATGTTAATGCAACTGTGACACAGCTGTGAAAAAATATGGTTTTAAGTGTTGATGGTGCCCAAACAACGTAGGCCTAGAAAAAAATCTTGCAGAGCGCAGAATGGACCCTTTAAACTAAATTCACGGCATATGCAACTGTGAAACAGCAGCTAAAAATTGTTGGTGCCACAATAAAATTGCTGTTGCAAAGAACAACAGCCATTGCTCCATTTTTAGATTGTAATAGTAGCGATCCTACAACAGTGGTAGTGCTATGTACTAACTGTGGAGGGTTTGCTTATAGAGACCAGACATAGAAATGTGTCATCATGTGTGTTGTGTGCTTTTTTTTTGGTGGCCTGCACTGGCAAAAGGAGCAGCTTTTGATAAACCAAAAGGAGGGTAATAGGATGCCCTAGATATTTAATCAGAAGCATCATCAGCAGGAGCTTGGTAGTTGCTGCTTACCCAAGACTGATAGCAGACAACCCTGGCTGCTGAGGACTGAAAACCTTTCTTAAAGCTAACACTCCATGAGCCACCCCCACGAGTGTTGCTTTCACTGACAGGAGGCTCTGAGATACTTTTTCTGTGAGACTATATTTTGCCATCATCTGAAAATGAGTAATACAAATTTCTTCATAGTGCGTCCTCCAGATGTTTCATACTTTTGCTTCCTTTGCAAGGACAGGATGAGCTCTGTGACTTTCCCCTTGTAATGTGGATCAAGGAAAGTTGCCAAACAGTAATTTGTGGGAGCCCATGTGCTGCAAATTACCGGAGGCGGAGGAACCTGAGTCATAATGGTCACTGAGGATGACATAATCTTCAGCTACCTTCTTCCAGCCATGTACTCTTGTGGTTTGGAAGGTATGAAACCCACCCTTGGATGACTGCCCTACTCAGCCTTAATGTCATCATGGAAATCATCCTCCTCCTCATCCTCCTCCTGTGCCTGCTGTGTCCTCACAGGGACAGTGTCTGGGTACAGTGAACCCTATGATTCAAGGAAGTCCTACTCTTCTTCCTACCACTCTGCATTGAGCACTCTGTCCATGATGCCATGCAGTGCGTGCTCCATCAAGAACACAACTGGTACAGAGTTTCTGATGCATGCATCATCACTGCTCACTATTCTTGTTGACTCCTCGAAATGTAGCAATATAGTGCATTCATTCTGAATTAGCAGTCACTGGCATAGGGAAAAAAGCCCAGCTCCCCTAAACCTGTCCTTGCACAGGTACTCAATGATGGTCCTCTATTGCATGTGCAGCAACTTCAGCATGGCCAAAGTCAAGTTCCACATGGTGAACATGCCACAGATCAGGCGGTTGCCAGACTATATATCAGTATCATGTGGACCTTGCTTCTGACCATTTGGTCCGGAAGTGCATAAACATTGCCTTCAGCATAAAGGTGAAGGACAGGGATGGCCTTACAGATAAAGAAATGGTGGGCAGAACCTGCCACTGCAGCACAGGACAGGCTGCAAATTCCTAAAAGAGAGCAGAATTTACCAGCTGCAAAGACAGAGGTTTTGAATCCAGCAATTATGCCAAGCTGGCATTTATGTACTAGGCATGGGGGTGGCTGGGGTGTATTTTTTTCCCTAGCAGCTGGGGCAGAAAAACATGCTCAATGTTACAGTTGATGGGGTGGGATTGGCAGAACTAGAGTAAGGTTGCAGAATACTCTTGCTACTAATCTGTGTGGCCCCATACAGATGCTCTTTCTTGCTGGTTGAGCCATAGGGTAGACTTGTGAGCCCCTTAATATACTATTATCACTCTTGTGGAGGCTGCTGAGAGGTTGTGTATATAGTAATTATTGTATATTATTATAATGTTGTTTTTACTGGGGAATAAATTGAAAGGTAGGAGTTGTAAGTAGGAGGAATGCTGCCCTTTCCTGATTAAAAGCATTTTGGTGCTGTTCCCACTGAGCTGCTTTGTGAGAGGTCACGTGTCTCTTCATACATGTGATACCAAAATTGCCAGTGGTATTGCCATGCTTGATATACTGGAGGCAGAAACTCCAAATATTACTGGTGTGGTCTGCTGCATGCCTGTTAAAGGCCCACATGGATGAGCTTTGGGAAGCAGACCAAGGGTCAACAGTGCCCTGCACCCATGAAGCTCTGCCATCTAATGGATCATGGCAGCTTCTCCCTCCACTTTTCTGTGAGCTGCCCCTAGATGACATCCTGCCTAACTGGGGTTTTGCTTCTGCCCTGTTTTC